AAGTTGTCCGTGTGACTTTGCTATACTCCAAGTCTTCTGAAGAGTCTTCTGTGATAGCTTTGTGGACTGATAATCTTTCCTCCAGTAAGCCGTTAGTTGGTGAGTTGGATCAATCTAATTTGGGAACGAATCATTATTTTGTGCAATTTCTTTCCAATGAACCACTCAGACAAACTGGTCTACTGGTAGTTCTCAAGATCCAATTACAAACTAAAAGAAATGGCAACAGCAGTTTTAAATTGCTTTTCAAGAAGATATATTCATATTTCATTTTTCAAACATTGACTGAATATATACCTGCATTTAGTTGTTTGTCCTATAAACAGTGGTAACTTGCAATTTTATCTTGGAGAGATATTTCTACCCAATATATCACATAAAAATGTATTTTGTTTGGCATAAATCAATGTATTCATGTAAACTGTAAGTTTCAATTTGTTAACTTTACTTGAAAAAAAATTGCTAACTTATTGCCTCAGAAAAAAATGTAGCTAAGGTTACTTAGTATATTCAAGTTTTCATAAATTGGCTTTTGAGTAAGCTTGACTTGAATAAAACCAGAAAATGTAGATGTTACAATTTTTTTCAATGATAAAGGGGACATCGGATTTCAAAAAATGTTTTGACTTTTTTTTTTTTTAGCTTTTTTTTTTTGTATTTAGTTAGGTTTCTGGCGTGTCTGCCAGCTCAGAAAAGCTGAAAAGAAAACACGCAGCCAGTTTGTTATGGGGCTGAATCTGAAACGGTCATCCAGCGAGCTGTTTCAATATGCAGCTGGTTTCTATGTAGATAGCTAGCTCTTTGAATAAGACCGACTCTGAGCCATATATGGAGTCCAAGGCTGCAATTCACATGTCTTGTGTAGACGCCCCTCAGAAGAGAGGGGTGGGGCTAGCAGTAGCTCATTACCATTTAAAGAGACATGCACCGAAACAGGTCGCTGTGAACAGAGCTGTTTTTGACAAGGAAAAAAAGGGGGTTGTTTTACACGACCATTGAGGAATTTTAACCAAAGTGTGTTACAGACATTTCATGAAAGACTCGTACCAACTTGTGGAAAATGGGCATCCGACGTCCCCTTTAAGAATCTCTTGTTAAATGGGGCTCTGCTTGAAGTCTCGTAAGTTTGAATCTATGTCAGTTCTCCCTTCTTCTCTCTCTGCGTTCTCGTCCGCTGTCTGTTTGTGAGCTCGCTGTACCTCTGAACTGTTTGCTGATGCAGTAAGTCTGCATGGAGCTGGCAGCTTCCTCTACTGAATTATTCATTAGGGAGAAATCTGCCGAACCCCTCCCCCATCATCTTATTATAAACCTTCTGCATCTTCATCAACTCTTTCACTAGTATTCACTCTGCAGAGGTAAATTGCTGTTCACATGTGCTTGGCCCTACCCTCTATCTCTCTCTCTATCTATCTCTCTATCTATCTATCTATCTATCTATCTATCTATCTATCTATCTATCTATCTATCTATCTATCTATCTATCTATCTATCTATCTATCTATCTATCTATCTATCTATCTATCTATCTATCTATCTATCACATTGTTGATTTATTATAATGCATTTACAGAAAGCCTTAGAAGACATTTCTGAAGACCTGAAATGCAATGCAAAGTCGTATGGGCCACTTTTAATGATGCTTCTGGTGAGTTTGCATTCTATTTGAAGCTTCCAAGCTTTAGTATTCAACCATTTTAACTACTAGTGAAAGCAAGACCAGGACAATTATTTAAAAGGTCTCATTTTGTCTCCAACAACCGAACAAAAGTCATATAGAGTAAATAATGGCAGAATGCGCTTTTTTTTGGTGAAATAACCCTGAAGAACTGGAGTGATCGCAGCAGTTCTTAATTCCAGTAAAGTAGTGATGTAGGTAAGGTTTTGATTTATCAAATAGTTGATCCTGATTAATTAGACATTTGTAGTATGTACCATCACACCACCAAAATGCATGGTGCATAGTGACGTCTGGTTCATGAATAAATCATTCTTTTGAACTGGTTCTTTTTAGTGAATCAGATGAATCAGTTCACCAAATCAGACTGAAGCGTCTGAAACAGTTTGCGGCTCAAGCAGCACAGTAACTCTACAAGTTACTCAATTAAAACTCACTTTCAGACACCCGACAAGTCACTGCGACTGGAAATGAGCCAAAATACCGGCGTATATGATGCTGTGATGAATGAACTCATTTAGCGCTCCAGTTCTTCCAGCAGACACTGAACTGATGAAACAGTTCGACTCAGACAGAAAACTGATGAGCCGCTGATATGCACATGCGAGAACCGAGCACACGAATGAAGGGGCCAAATGAATGTTTTTATGGTTTCTCGTGGTTTATGTAAAAAGGTGAGCTGATGAAGGCTAGTTTATTCACTTTATTTGCTGTAGACATGCAAAACATCCATGTTGCACATCATAATTGGGTGCTTTAATAATACAATTGTGTATATGTGATGCCATTGTGTGATTACATAAATGAATCATTGGTGAATCGAATCATTGAAACGAACTGTAAATCAGAGTTCCCATATCCACACAGCAGGTGATTAGAGAACTTGGAGAAATGATTTCTGAAGTCTATGTTACAGTGTTAGTGGTATAGTTCAAAAGAGTCAGAGGGCTATTGGTATTGTTCTCAGCAGAACAGGTGTTGCTGACTCTGTTTCTCTTTTCCTAAATAGCTCTCATGATAGTCATTGTCCCCGTCTGGAGTCTAGACATAAAATACTTTTGTTTTGCTTTTCTTGTTTCTTTACAAAAAGTGCTGATTTGGAGTGGTTCAGATTTAGCTTTTTGTAGAACAGCAGGCACATTTGTATGAATGAAAAGGAAAGGATAAGACATTAGCTCATAACGATCATTAGCTCTGTGGGTTGTGCTTGCCTTTCATAAGGAAAGGGAACATAAAAATGAAAAAAAAAAAAAAAAAATAAACATAAAAGAAAAAAAGCAACCTGTATCCTATGATGTAATGCATAGCACTTGACTGAACTTGAGAAATATCAAAGCCCTACTTCACAACATTTTTACACTGTTAAATTAAAAAGGCAAAATTATAATTTTATTTATCTAGATGCTAACCAAATTACTGAATTAAATGTTAAAAAAGTGTTTCAGAATTCGGAGAAACTCATTTTGCAGTGTTTTCAATGAAGTGTTTTCTTCTCTCCCAACAGAGACAACTATACGTAAGACATTTGTTGAATTGAACACTGTTTGAACAGTCCGACATGTCAACTTCTGGCTCAACTAATGGTGTGAATTTGGGGTTATCGTCATTTTGAGATACTTCAACCTGCAGTTATTGCAGACTTCATAGCTTCCATGTTAACATCTGTGCTACAAATGACGATTACTTTTATTTAGAGCCGTTGAAGTAATTAAATATAGAAAATGCTCCTACTCTCACCTACCTTTTGTACCCTACAGATAATATTTGCATGAGAAGCTGCCACCGTCTTTTATTGCAGCACATCAGCTCTTCCTTCCTCACGTTCTGTTCTCTCGTTGACTGCGACTGTCCCTTGCTACAGTCTGCAGCATAAGAGAATTTAGATTTTTCGACTGACTTTCTGTTGAGAAACGTATTGTGTGTGAATGTGTTGCATTCCTAAACTTAACATCTACCTTACTAACTGTTAATAAGCCGCCAATTACACTCTAAAAAATGCTGGGTTAAATATAACCCAGCGCTGGGTTAAAAAGGGACAAACCCAGCTATTGGGTTGTTTTGACCCAGCGTTTGGGTTGTTTTGACCCAGCGTTTGGGTTGTTTTGACCCAGCGTTTGGGTTGTTTTGACCCAGCGTTTGGGTTGTTTTGACCCAGCTGTTGGGTTGTTTTGACACTCATTGTTTAGAGTGTAAAGTTGTAGTTAATAGTTAGTTAATAGTGATAACTGGTCCTAAAGTGTGACCACATTTATATTACATTTTTACAGCTTTATATAGATGTATTTTTGATCCATTACCTAAACAAAACCACTTCTCAACAATATAAAAAACAAAAAAAATATTTTTTTAGTCAATGCATGTTCAGAAAACTGCTGTGTCCCACAGCAAACAAAATAAATATATTACAAAGGCAAAGGCTGAACGATTTCTTAATTTATTCATATTCGATTCACTTTAAGATTTTAAGATTGCATTAAAATGATGTGATCCTTTGATTTGAGCCAATAATAAATGTGAGTGTTCACAAATACAATAGAATCTAAGTCTACACTCTAAAACATGCTGGGTTAAATACAACCCAGTGCTGGGTAAAATAGGAACAAACCCAGCAAGTGGGTTGTTTTGATCCAGCAGTTGGGTTACTACCCAGAAGGTTGGGTTAAACATTTAACCAAACCGCTGGGTCAAAACAGCCCAAACGCTGGGTATGTCCCTATTTACCCAGCACTGGGTTGTATTTAACCCAGCATTTTTTAGAGTGTAATAATTAATGGAATAACTAAGGATTAAATAAGGCTTCGTAATTTTGTACATCTGTAAAGTTGTTTATATGTAAAATATTTACCTTTTAGATGCTGTCAGTATTGTACATTTGCGTAATATATGTTAGATTTCAAAGCAAAAATCTTTATAATCATATCAAGCTTGCAAGACTATTATAGCGGATTCTCAGAGAATTTATTCCTTTTTACGAAATTTTTGTGGTAAAAATAAATGATCCAAGACCAACCTGAGAAACTGAAATGTGCTAAAGCTATCAATTTCCCCGCCGGTTTGTTTTTGTCTCTTTGTTCTTCTGCACTTTCCTCTCATTCTGCTTCACTTTTTCATGTTTGTCTGCCTTCTCTTGTCATGTGAACTGACTAATTCAAGCGTAGGCTCTTTTCATTCATGTGAAGCAATAGATGGGACTCTTTCCTCTTCCAGCTTTCTCTCTCTCTCTCTCTGTCGCTCTCTCTGTACCTGTCTCTCGTTCTCTCCCTTTACCTCAAGAGTGTGAAGATTTAATGGCTTCTTGTGTTTATGTCGTATGTCCTTTTAGGCCCACGTCGTTCATCGCTGGCTAATCGATCAGGACAATAGTGTGAGCTCTGAGCTGCCGGATGGCCAGGGAGTGTGGCACTGTGATGAAACAGTAAATATCTGCAACATATATCTAAAGTTTTATTCTCATATATATCTATATACATATACATATTGTATATGGACATTATCTTTCACTAGATATGCTTCTGTCATTGTTGTTAGTGTTTTTGGTGTATAGTGGTTCTAATTTCATCCACATTCTTTTCTTGTGAATTTGATTTTGGCACCATAAAGTTTTAATGTATAACATTCAGTTTAACTAAACTGTGGTTTTATTTGAGAGTTTCGTATTACTGTTTGGTGTTGGGCTGGCTTTTTTTTAAGTAGCGGTAGATGTGGTAGTGGTCCGGGCTGGACAAGTTTTTGTTGTTGTTGGTTTCTTTGTTTTTTTATTTGTTTCACCTGATCGTTTTATGAGATTTTTTGGTTGCGTTCAGATTTTGAGTTCCGTTTTTGTGATGTGTGTATTATTTTTGCGTTCATCAATGTACCCACAGTATAAAAGAGTCCACGGGCAAAAAAAAAAAAACTAAAATAATATTACCAACACATCACTTTAACATAACATAAACTGCATACACAGTATGGGTAGGATATAATAAGGCTGAAGTCAAACGAACCTATTTTACCTGTGGGTTCTTAAGTGTACTTTTCACATGTATTGATGTGTTACTCACAAACACTCGTTTGTATCCAGACACCTCTGCATGCACTGACGTGTGTTGATGTTTATACACTATCCACATCTGTCCATGTTGTGCCGTGAGAGCTGAATCTGAGTGGTGAGTGAGGTTCAGTTTTTTCATCTGTGTTTGTGCTGAATGTGTTTTTGTGTTGTGATAGTGCTCATTTCATAGTGTGTGTGTGTGTGGGTATTGTGTTGTGGATTTGATGTTTAGTGTAGTGTTAGTGTTTCTGTTTAAAGAATGCTTTTTTGACTATCTGTGACTCAGGTAAGTCAGATTTCCAAGTCATCTTCTTATAATAATTCTAAATCATGGTGGGATTTTTGTTTGCATTTTTTTTCCTACACCTCAGGTCAAATTCATTTCACGTCAAAGTAAACTCCAGTTATTTATTTCTTTATCTTTTTTAATTAATAAACAAGTCAAATACAGCAATTGTACACTTTGCCTCTTATTGAGCTCCTAATGGGACAAGGTGCTTTTGTGACTGAACGTGGTGTCAACACAAATGTTGCAAGGAAAGTCAAAAGCATCAAAATATGATTTTTCCTCCCATCTTAATATATATATATATATATTACGTCACCTTGTCCCCTCAAGGGCTCCATAGCCTCTAAATGCAGTGTTGGAAATACTATTAGAATTAGAATTAGTAATAGAAATTCTAAGTTCTACACATATTTATATGACTATATTCAAGTATTCTGGCTGATTCTGACAGGAAATGTGAATAATGTATAGTAAAAGTAGACTAGGATGTATATAAATTAATAATATTAATTAATTAATTTTATTTTATATATTTATTTATTTTATTATTATTCTTGTTTTGCAAAGACTTCCAAAAGTGTATTGAGGTATATTCGTTTTACCTCTCATTTTTCCGAGCTTAGAAGACAACTTACCACAAAGTGGCACATCTTACCCCACTCTCCTCTATATTAAAATCCCTAAATTATCTATCCAAACAAGCACAGTATGCAAAACAATATGACACATTTTTAGAGGCTGGAAGATGTCTACACTGGAAGTGAGCGAAACGATAGAAATACGCCAGTCCCATTATTATCAACAAAGGTGTTTACACTGCAAGTGACTTGATGTGATGCACCTGAGTAGTTGACATATAATATGTCTTTGGAATTTTTTTCTAAATCAACATCAAGACTATTGGATTAAATTCTGAACGTATGATGGGAAGTGTATATCTTCCTTATTTTGAGTTTTTTTCTACAATTCACATTTGACATGGAATTTTTAGAAGTTCAAATATTCCATGCAGTCTGTCAGTAAATATAATATTATAGAAGCTGCATATATAAAATATAAAATGAATAGGCATATACTGTTTAAAAAAGTTTTTAAGGAAATGGTTTTACGTTTCCGCCACTGAATAAAAAAATAAAACAAGGTGATTGCGACTTTTGTCACAACTTTTTTTTGCGAGTTAATATCTCACAATTCTGACTTTATATGGTGTAATTCTGGAAAAAAAAGTTGCAATTACCTTGTTTTATCTTTAATTCTGTGGCAGAAATGGGCTTTCATAAATTTTTCGTGAGCTTAAACTTCTCAAGATGGCGCCGCAGATGGCTGCCTCGGTGTGGAGCTCTCCAATGTTGCGCTGTTTTTTGTTAGTTTTTCCTGTTAGTTTTTTTGTTTTGTTTCTCAAACACAATCAGTTTTACCAGGGATGAACCGCTGAACATTCAGCAGAACACACCACCCAGTCTTCTACTGCTTTTCAATTATTCGGACGCTTTGCTGAACATTGTAGTTGGCGGAGCAGCAGCGTTGTTAAAGTGCTTTAAGACACGCAAGCATGGGAAGCTCCGTCTCGTCAAGCTCCGACAGCAGGATTCTCCGCTCTCTACCCAACGAAATGGACAAACTTCTCCTGCTCTCCCGAATAAATAAGGACATTTCAAACTCTGCTGCTCTGTTTCACGGAAACCAGTGTTGAAGAAAATGTGCTGTCCTGATCTAGAAGCGCTCTTCATCAACTGTAAGCCGCTCTACTCGCCGTGGGAGTTTTCCTCGTTCATTCTCGTAAGTGTTTACATTCCTCCGCAAGCGTGCGTGAGGTCTTCAGGAAGCAGAAGAGCAGAAAAGCACCAGGCCCAGACTGTTTTTCACCAGCCTGTCCAAAAACCTGTGCTGACCAGCTGGCCCACATATTTTTACAGATCTTCAACAGATCACTGGAGCTGTGCGAAGTCCCTGCCTGCTTCAAACACTCCACCATCATCCTCATCCCAAAGAAACCCAAAATCACAGGACTTAATGATTACAGACCTGTTGTAACATCTGTGGTCATTAAGTCATTTGAGAGACTGGTGTTGGCTTATCTGAAGGACATCACCGGACCCCCTGCAGTTTTCTTACCGAGCAAACAGGTCAGTGGATGATGCAGTCAACATGGGACTGCACTACATCCTGCAGCATCTAGACAAATCTGGGATTTATGTGAGGTTGTAATTATTTACAATAAATTATAGATTGTAATTATGTGATTCTCTTTGTGGACTTCAGTTCGGCCTTCAACACCATCATCCCAACACTCATCCAGACCAAACTAACCCAGCTCTCTCTTCCCAGCTCTATCTGTCAATGGATCACCAGCTTTCCACAGACTGAGGAAATTCATATCAAACAGCCACACCATCAGCACTTGCGCTCCTCAGGGATGTGTGCTCTCCCCACTGCTCTTCTTCCTGAACACCAACGCCTGCACCTCTACTGACCCCTCTGTCAAGCTCCTGAAGTTTGCAGGCGACACCATAGTCATCGGCCTCATCCAGGACGGTGACGAGTCTGCTTACAGACAAGAGGTTGAGCAGCTGGCTGTCTGGTGCAGTCACAACAACCTGGAGCTAAACACGCTCAAAACAGTGGAGATGATCATGGACTTCAGTAGAAACCCCCCTGCACTCCCCCCACTCACCATCATGAACACCACTGTGGCAGAGTGGAGTCATTCAGGTTCCTGGGCACCACCATCTCTCAGGACCTGAAGTGGGACAATCACACTGACTCCATTGTTAAGGTTGTACTTCCTTTGCCAGCTGAGGAAGTTCAACCTGCCCCAGGAGCTGCTCACACAGTTCTACTTATCCACCACTGAGTATGTCCTGTGTACATCAATAACTGTCTGGTTTGGCTCAGCTACAAAATCAGATATCAGAAGACTACAGAGAATGGTTCAGATTACTGAAAGAATTATTGGTGCTCCCCTGCTCACACTTCAAGGACTGTATGTATCCAGAGTGAGGAAAAGGGCTCAGAAAATCACTCTGGATCCCTCTCATCCAAGCCATCTCCTTGAACTTTTGCCATCTGGCCGGTGCTACAGAGCACCGAACACCAGGACAGCCAGACACAAAAAAAATCTCTTTCCCCAGGCAATCTACCTTATGAACAGTTAAATGCTCTCCCCATTGTGCAATAAAAAATATGTGCAAAACCACTTATATTTATTTGATTCCTCCTATCTTAGTCCATCCCTACATCTTTATCTCTGTACTATTCCATCTATAGCACATCTATACATAATTGTTTTGTTTATTTATATTTTAATTATATATATATATATATATATATTTATTATCTGTGTGCTGTTGTTGTCTCTGTGTACTGGAAGCTTCTGTCACCAAAACAAACTCTGTGTATGTGCAAACATACTTGGCAATAAAGCTCTTTCTGACTTCTGACTTTTGGATATTTAGCATAGGATGTGTCAACTTCTCAAAAGTGTTTCATGTCAAATTCCAGCTTGCAGTTAATAGACACAATTTTTGTTGCGCTGCAAATGAAGTATGAAATTAGCTGCATTTATTGAATGGGTTGATTACTATTAATTTCAGTTGTTTTACCTGTTACAAAGCCAGTTTCTGGCCTCCTTATTTTATCATCTAAATCATCATTTTCTAACCATATATGGTTCTAGCAATTATTCTATTGTGTGTAAAAATTCTACAGTAGTCCAAACAAGCAAACAAATAAATGTATTTATTTGAAATGAAAAGATATAGTAGGATACAAAGTTATTCACCCATTTTATTGGATGAATAACCTGGTCTCTGGTTAGTGAACACGGCTGAGGTGGTGTATGGCCTCCTAGGAGGTTTCATTGCGACAACGTTGGTCACTTCCAATGTAGACATGGTTTAAGTGTGTATAAAGATGAATCTGCCCTGTGTTTTCCTGTTTATGTGCTTCTTTGATCATATATGTTTCCCCCCCCTAATAACACAAGTATAAAAGGTAGATTTCTCAAATTCAGTGTTAAGTTTCATGTTCTCTGATACTTATGTACTGTGAGCATTGATTGAGTCATGTCACATTTATCAAGCAATGCCATGTT